ATTCAAAGCCTCAAAGACAGACCCTACAGCTAGTGGTCAGCTGCAACAATAGCAGCCACTTTCAAATGATTCACACATCTTGTTGATTCCAGTTTCAACACAAGAGCAATACTCAATATCGGCTGTGTCTTCATTCTGAGAATCATTGTCTACAAAAGTGTTACTATGAAGCAGGGAGGGAACACCAAGTATTTCACATCTCCTTATAATGAAAGAAGCCACGCCAAAGATTCGAATCAGTCACCTCGCTTTAGGTGTTTCATTGTGACGTATGAAGCCTCAAACGTCATCGGTCATGTGATCACAGAGATTTGATACAAGCCCCGACGAAATAAAGGTGACTTGACTTGACAATCTGATGATTCACATGATCTGTAATGATCATGAGAGCTCAGTAAATGCTTTTGTGTTTAATTATGTTGCAGGGAGGAAGAAATCGCAGCACAGAGAGGAATTAGTGATGATTCCATTATTTTATTTTATTTATTTTTTTGAATCTCTCAACATTTTACAACAGTATCCAGGTGGTGAAGACAAGAAAAAAATAAACAAAATCACGTCAGTTGCAATCGCTACCTGTACTCTCCTCTATCTGCTTCGTCACTTGCAACACTTTGTGTGTGTTGCCAATGGAGACGAGATGCTGTGGTGGTTCGCTTTCTTTGTCACTTGCAACACTTCGTGTGTGTTGCCAATGGAGATGAGATGCTGTGGTGGTTCTCTTTCATAGGTTCACTTATGCTGTGATAGCGTTTGCTATGGGAACACCTTCGGTGTGACGAATATCTGAAGCCCTTATACCATCACGCCATTTTATTGGGCAGTAGCACCTAGCACCGCCGCGAGAATAAATCATGTATATGTTCATAACGTGTTACACACAAATTCATCAGATTTCATCTTCTTCAGGAAGCGGATTATCTGTTGCAGAAAATGCATCGATCTGTGCGACAGGTTCATTTGTTGCAGGGAGGAAGAAATCGCAGCACAGAGAGGAATTAGTGATGATTCCATTATTTTATTTTATTTATTTTTTTGAATCTCTCAACATTTTACAACAGTATCCAGGTGGTGAAGACAAGAAAAAAAGAAACAAAATCACAATGTCAGTTGCAATCGCTACCTGTACTCTCCTCTATCTGCTTCGTCACTTGCAACACTTCGTGTGTGTTGCCAATGGAGACGAGATGCTGTGGTGGTTCTCTTTCATAGGTTCACTTATGCTGTGATAGCGTTTGCTATGGGAACACCTTCGGTGTGATGAATATCTGAAGCCCTTATACCATCACGCCATTTTATTGGGCAGTAGCACCTAGCACCGCCGCGAGAATAAATCATGTATATGTTCATAACAGCGTGTTACACACAAATTCATCAGATTTCATCTTCTTCAGGAAGCGGATTATGAGCGACAGAAAATGCATCGATCTGTGCGACAGGTTCATTTGTGTCGTTTGCAAGTGACGTCGCAGGTAGTGGAGAGTGCAGGTGGCGATTGCAAGTGACATTGCAATTTTGTTTCTTTTTTGTCTTCACCACCTGGCTACTTGTTTAAGATGTTGAGAGATTCAGTTAAAAATAAAATACAAAATAAAAGCAAAATAAAAGTGACGTCACTTGCGGAAGTACAGGTGTCCGAGAGGGCAAGTGCATGTCTGCAGCCAGGCCCTATTGCATTGTCCTCTAAAACCACTGGGAATCCGCAGTGAGAAGCAGTTTGCCGGGAATTTGCACCTCGTGTGGAGTTGATGAATGAATGAACTTCTTAAACTGATTTGTGTGTCAGTTTGTAAAAAAATGTTTTATACCAAACCCACAAAACAAGAATGAATGAATGAATAAATAAATAAATGTAAAATCCAGTAAA